TATCCTGTTTTTGAATGAACATGAAAAATAGGCCTAAAAACCAGACAGACGTTTTTTTTTTAAATAGCTGATGGTTCAATTTTTAATCAATGCAATTTAAAATACTTAATTAAACCCAAATGGAAATTCCAGTGCAGTTCAAAGTCCAGGTGAACACCAAGGTATTTATACTCCTCGGCCCCCTCCACTTCTTCTCCCGTCATGTTAAAATTATTCATCTTGTTCCCATTTCTTCTGAAATTTACAATCATCTCCTTGTTTTGTTGACATTCAGGATCAGAAGATTGTTTCCATGCTATGCTACAAAGCATTCCAGCTACCAAAAAAAAAAAAATTAATAAAAAAATCCAATCCTAGAATAAAACTTTGAAAAGCTTTTCAATCAAAAAAGGTTGATGAAAAACATTTTAAAAAAAGATTGACACGATTTTGAAACTTTTCTGTTTTCTCAGATTTTTTTGTATTTGTAATATCAAAACCATTGTGATATAACAAAAAAAAGAGCCAAATACATAAATGTACCATGAAATGAGCAGATGTCACCATCATTATTTATCTCATACGGAGGTTCCCAAACGTTTTAGCCTATGACCCCAAAAATAAAAATGCAGCTGACTGAAAACCCCTAAAAATACATAGAATTACTAATATAAAAATAAAGTGAAGTATTCATTTTTTAATAAATCTATTTTCTTAATTGGTTAATTCATAATTTGAAACGGATTTACAATTATCTAATTGTTCATTTAATCTTGAAGTCATTTATTAGATAGTAAATGTAACATCTACCTATATATTTATTTTTTTCCTACTTGCTTTGATTCTTTTTTATCTTCCTGTATTTTAATCATGTAAAGCACTTTGCATTGTCTTTGTACTGAATTGTGCTATACAAATAAATTTGCCTTGCCTTGCCTTACCTATTTCATGGTATATTTATGTATGTCACAATATGTTTTAGCCTTCCATATATCTCACATTACTGTAAAATAAAAAACAAAACAACATGTTGTGACCCTTCACTTGGTGTCTCCTCCTGGGGAAACTCTTATTTAATATATATATTAATATATACATAAATGGTAATAACCCATTAAATAATTAAAAATACATAAAAAAAATTCTTAATTGAAAAATCTAATTTCATTTAAAAATACAGATATTAAAATGAATATATTGACTTTACTATGTATTTATATAAAATACTTTTATTTATTCTTATAGCTCATGAGTCTATGTGTTGCACCAGGTGGATGCTTAGTTGTCCGTATCAGAAACTGACACACTATCCATGCCTCAGGGTTACAGATAGCTCTCCTCTATCAGACCGGCTCCAAGATGTTCCCATATCCTGTGTATTTTTAAAGACACAAAGGCTGTCCTGATTAGATGAGCTCCGTACGCACAGTGACATCCACAATGTGAAGGAAGGCCTT